CGAGACTGGGACTTCGCCTTACCCTACGCAACTTTCGCGTATAATTCATCCCGTCACGACACAGCGGGCTTCTCGCCATTCTACTTGTTGTACGAAAGAGAGCCGACTTTACCACTGGACACAGTCATCTCGGCTCACACCTCGTGCACCAGCGAGTATGCCCGCGACGCGATTGCGCAAGCCGATCATGCCCGTCAGCTCGCTCGCGCTCGGCTGATGGCGTCGCAAACTAACCAATGCCGTCGGTACGATGCGGAACATAGAGACGTACATTTCGCTCCAGGTACCCTCGTTTTACTCTGGTCCCCTCATCGTCGGCTGGGCCTATCAGAAAAACTTCGGTCTCATTACATGGGACCCTACCGTATATTGCGTCAAGTAACACCTGTTACCTACGAGATCAGCCCCATCTATCCATCATCATCTACTATGCGGCCCAGTGATATTGTACACGTCTCGCGGATCAAGCCCTACAAGAAAGGGTCAGATAACGACCTTTAAAGCACCAGGACGGTGCCTCAGCCACCGCGTGTCATGCTAGTGCCAATGCATGGAGTTGAAGAAGACAAAGTAGATAGACTGGCACGAGGTAATCTGTGTGGCTGGCGCTGCTCGCTTAACCGGCTGTAAATACATCGGTGACTACCCCTCCGAGTCGGTCTCCTTCTCGTAACATATATAGCCACAGCTATGGCCACATCTTCAGCATGGGTAGCATTGGTTGTGTGGAAGGACACACCATCTACCTGCCTGTATTGGTTGACCACGGCTTCCGATAACGATCCCCGCGGTAAGGGTCGGAGACGTCAGTGTAGAGTACGTTTTGTATGGAGCAGAATCGGCGCCGAAGAGCAAGAGCCCGCGTCTTTTGACGGCCAGTGTGCGACTCACGTGACATACTTGTGGGGAAGGGTCGAACATGAATCACGTATTTTTAATGTTCGGGCACTCGTACCCGCTCCTCTGTGCGGAGTTCATGCCGAAGGTGTTGGCGATCTAGGAGTCGTCTGGCCGACGGGGTCTGCGCAAGCGTGTGTATTGATTTGTTCGGTGAGCTTACTGAAGCTCCTGATAGGTGTTTACCACTCCCAAGGCAAGAAGGTTTGCATTAGAAGTAGTGATCAGGAGGTCTAGGGCTCTTGACAATTTTACGAAGGGGCACCTCTAAGGAATCTTTATCGTGCTTCCGTAATTGCAGGTACGGGGTCGCATACAAGATGCGACTAGCGACAAAAACTTGCGCGAGACGAAGCGCATCCTTGCTTTTGGGAACTCCCCACTTGTTGGACACTCGGCGGACCGTGCGGCCCACTTGTTCTCCAAGCTTACGCAGCTTGGAAAGTGTTGTCTCGACCCTGCAGTGTTTGTGAATGTGGAGTCCAAGGACACTGATTTCCTGTGCATCATTAATAGGTCCACTGTGCATAGAAAAGGTAATGGACGAAGTGAACTTCACTGACGGCTGAAGGTGCATGAATTCAGACTTCTGTGGGGAACACTGGAGGCCGCAGTACGCCGCATATTCGTCCAATTTATGGTCTGCGGTTTGCAGGCTGTCCTCCATGCCACCCAAGCATCCCTCTATGAACCACAGAGTCATGTCGTCCGCATAAAGAGCATGCTTTACCCCGTCGACAGTGGCCGAACGGGCCGGGAGCTGCGCCATAGCTAAGTTGAACAGCAGAGGCGACAACACAGCGCCTGTTGTGTGCCTCACGTGCCCAGGGGATAGGGGCCGTATTCCTGATCTTGGATTCGAACGTATGCAGCTCTCTCAGTAAGAAAGTTTCGAATGCAGTTGAAGGAGCGCTACCCACTGTTGGTGGCGCTTAGGTGAGCTAAGATGACTTCGTGCTTGACGTTATTAAGGGTTCTCTTAAGGTCAAACGCTAGAATGATCTTGTCATTGTGAGAGTGTTTTACGGTATTAAGTACTTCGTGGCGTATTTGTAGAAGTATGTCCTGCGAAGATTTATTGGGCATGAAGCCACACATAGAATCGGCGAAAATATGGCTCTCTTCCAAGAAAGGAGAGACAATCCCTGACAGTAGTTTCTATTAGCTTTTCCACACAAGAAGTAAGAGAAATGGGTCTGGGATTCCCTGTGTTGATCGGTTTTCCTGGCTTTGGAATGAAGTTCCTAGAGACTTTTTCCAGTCTAGTGGGAGGGGCGTTTTTCCGAACAAGATAGCATAAATATACTAGAGAAGCGATTGGTGCGCTGCATCGGTAGATTTGCCAGGATTTAAACGGTAATTTTGTCCCGCCTGCAAGCCGTACTTCGCCTAATTTTGACTAGAGCACCGCGAAGGTCGTGCAACTGTAAAGGAGCATTTAGTGCCAACTTCTCTCTGCCAGCACAGCGATACGTGGAGCCTCGCGTGCCCTGCTGAGTGCAAATGATTGATTGATTGATTTGTGGGGTTTAACGTCCCAAAACCACCATTTGATTATGAGAGACGCCGTAGTGGAGGGCTCCGGAAATTTTGACCACCTGGGGTTCTTTAACGTGCACCCAAATCTGAGTACACGGGCCTACAACATTTCCGCCTCCATCGGAAATGCAGCCGCCGCAGCCGGGAATCGAACCCGCGACCTGCGGGTTAGCAGCCGAGTACCTTAGCCACTAGACCACCGCAGCGGGGCCTGCTGAGTGCAAAGATATCAGTAAGGCAGTGAGAGGGCTAGTTGTGTTGTGGAGCTGTGGAAATTGTGAAAGGCTCGGTGCAGTTCTTGCGTTTCGCCTTGCGTTTGAGTGGGATGAGACTGCGGAAGAGTTTCCATGTATCGCGACTGGACGTTTGCCTGCTGTCAGTGTTACAGCGATATACTCCATTTGAGTCGGTGAGCTGAGAAGCGTACTCGGCCGCCTTCTTTGTGAGATCCAGTATCTGCATGAGTAGTTTGTGGTTTTGTTTTATCGGCACCATCTCTGTGAGGCTGGGACGGGCCTTCCAAAAATGGAGGAGATGGTTATCTATATCCGGATGACTATCCGTGAGTTGTATTTTGGGTTTTTTTCTTAGTGCTCTGAGCACAGAGTGAGCCCACTGGGAAAAACCGATCTTTAGGATCGGAGAGTCAGGTAAGGGCTGCCGGAAAGCTTCCCAATTTGGTAGGTGAGCCTGTGCAATAGGGCATTGTAGGGGTCGTGTAGAATTGTGTTGAGAATGCAGTGGTCACTACCAAGGGTGTTTTCTGTATTGAACCAGTCTGCGTGTGATGTTTTTCGCAAGTAGTAGGTCGCGGCAGGTGTCCCAGCTGACAGAGTTACCTACACGAGTTAGTTGCGCGGGGTCTGAAGAGTCATGCCCAGCGTGGAAGCTAGCTCCACAGGTTTCCTTACATGCACCTCTTCCTTGCAATAGCCCTATAGCCTGCTAGGGCCATTCAAGTCAGTCACTATTAAAAGGGGTAATGCCCAGCGAGCTTCAGTGCCATGCTGAAGATGTCAGCGAATGTAATGTTTCTGAGTTTAGGTTTGCAATAAATACTGAGGATGTGCACTGGGGGTCAGTTCTGCGCAGGAGAAGAAGCGTGACCATAGTGTATGAGTACGGTATTGAAACTTTGAGGTTGACCTCTTGCGTGGTTAAGGTTTTATGTACAAGGCAGGTGAATGAGTCCCGTTGAAAAGTGTTATAACCTGAGAGGCGCATGGCATTGCCGGGCTCTTTAAGGGCAAATATGGCACACGGGTACTCAAATGTTTCAAAATAGAGGCTGAAATGGGTTCGTTTGGCCCTACCTTTGAAGTCTCTACATTTTCATTGAATTGAGAGAGCAACTGAGGTTTTCACTATGTAGAAGTAGACAGTAACCCTCAGTCGGCAGTGAGATATAAGTGTTAGTAAGTACATCTACGGTTAGCCTAATAACCTAAATATTGAATGAAAAATAACGAGTGAATTATTTCTAGTTCCAGAAAACGGCTGAAGACAAGAATTGTCGTACAAAAAAAGTAATGATCATGTTTGCCTCACTCACCACAAAGCGTCAGCTTGTATTGCTAGACCCCGACGACTCTGAGCACCGCACTCTTGCAGAGCGATACGTCCACACAACACAGAAGTACACGAATTTAAAGCAGATAAATGTACCTGTCCGTAGCTAACAGGCAACAAGCCAATATACAGTAACTTGATAGATTCCACGTAAACGGCAGCCACTTTTGTTGACGCAGTCATGTTTCTCGAGTGGAGCTAGTGCATCAACTTCTCCTGAAAGAATGGTTGCTAAGAGCGTTTGGAAAACAGCCGTAGCTCTGCTACCTTATGGTCACATGTAGAGTAACTCTAGAGCCTACTACCAGTTAGCGCCACTTTTCACAGCCAAAAGGAATCCATCCTGGCGCCGAACGCAATATGAATGTGGTGCCGGCCGCTAAGACATCACCTAACAAATTCCTCCACTATGGCCAGACCAACATCCGATGATCCAGAGATCCTTTGAAGTGATGCCATCGCGGGTGATGCCCTCGGTGAATTTGTAAGAACGCTTTCTCCAAGACGCAAGTAAAGCTCATTTGCCTAGTCTCGGCCTACCGCTGCCTGTGTCGTATTTTTTTCCTTTCACAGTGGCAGCACGATTACTTCTAATAATCTGCGTTTATTCACCATTCGGTTCGTTTCGCTGAAATACTCGAAAGAATTTCGCTGACAGTTATGTTAGACGGGTCAATGTCTAAAAAAGACGCGATAACGTCTTCCCCTCTGAGAGAACAGTTATCGGAATTGTCCTGGGTTCAATGACAACTGTGCTTTCATGTGAAACTTTGCTTTCAAGTAGACCGATCGAAGCCGTGACATCTCATTGATCTCTATTAGTCATTAGGTGCCCCATATTGTACAATTTTCGGAACGCCTAAAGGCTAATAAAAGAATGTACAGCGTTTGCTTTCATATCTCTTACAAATACACGCTTGCATTGGGTAACGTGTAGATGAAGGCTTTGTGAGCATTGTCACACATCATGTTGCATAAAAAAATGACAAGCTTACCCTGCTACAGGTCCGTGCGTCCTATATATTTCCTGCCAAATGGTGTGAACAGGCTGCAAGCGAAAAATATAACAGTAAAGTTTTCCTTTCAGCTTCAAACTCAAAGAATCAGGTATAGCACACACGTGCTGCACCAGCTGGATTCGGCATCCCTAAAAAGTCTTTCCACATGAGTTCTATAAATGCGTTACTTGAAACAACCGTGCAAAAAAATATGAAGTGCATGAACAACAAAGCGCAGTTCAACGGGTGAAGATTGATTTTTCACAAAAAATTGTGGCAATGCCCTCACGCCGAAATAATTCAGAGCCTTTCTACCTTGTGTCCCAGCAGCACCAATGCTGTGTGTTGCAAGACGAGGCCATGAATGCAAGTTTCACACCAGCACTTGTTGTGTGCCTTGTACCATCGTTGCAAGGACGGCACTGCTCCTGTATGCCAGTCAAAGTCTCTCCGACCGCTTGAGTTAAACACCTCAAACGACCGGCAGCAAAGTCACCGTGCGTACCTTCCCGCTGCTCACCGCGTCTTTCCTGATCTTTCCTAATGACCAGTCATTCAACTTAAGAACGTCCGAGTGCTAACTACCCGCTCCAAAGCGCGCTTGGCTCGCTCTAAGAGTGGAGCCACGCCTCAAACATGTGGCCACTTGACCCTCCCACTCGAATTCAGTCGGGTCAAATCGTGCACTTATCATATAAGACTTCCCAAAGAAATAATGAAACTTCATTCATAGAACGAACGTTTCTATAACAGGGCTTTTAATATAAGGCCTGCGAAACTGAATAAGCATCTCGTTTGGCAAAACACTGGCTTCAGCGACTTTTATCATTGTTTCGCGACTTCTCGTCTTCTAAAGCTTCGACGTTTCCTTGCCATAATGTTTAGGATTCGAATTAGTTGCACGAAAAACTGATTTATTGTAGTTAGAGATAATTTCCAACTTCAACTTGTAATGGTCTCATCCTTAATGAGCTGCATTTTGGTCACTCACCATGTAGTACATACGCGCCATGTTGCGCAAAGTGTGCAGAAAGGACACATGCTCCACACTTCGCGAAGACCAGTACTGTCTTTGGTACCGCGCTACCCTGTAAGCAGATGAAAAGAGGAAAAACAGGCCCTTATTTCAACGAAAATATTTAGGTTTATATTAGTACTGCGGTAGAGTGCGATGTTTGTACTGAAATACCGCTACAAAGAACATAGGACTGTAACAAAAAGAGCAGCAGGATGAACAATTCCAATAACTTGGTTGCGCACGGGTCTTTCTCTTTATATTTAATAATAATTTCAATGTATGTGCTTGTGGAGGCAGGAAAAAAACTATTACGAATGACGTTTCTTATAACTTCGGGTATATTGAGGACATGAATTAATGTTGGAGAATCACTGTGACGACTGAAAAACGCTCCTCCCTACTTAAGACTTCTCGAGGACATGACTGCATGTCCGTAGGAGTCGGAATTTAAGTGCCGCTACAGTATCGAAAAAACTCTTCTCATAATGTCTTTGTTGTGTGAGGCAGGAGTATGTGAAAATCCTGAAAGTGGAGGCCGCTGACTGCAGGGTGCGTAACTTACCACATGGGGCCGAGCTGTGGCGATCGCACTAGGATGCGACACAGTGGCGTACCAACTAACTATTTCGAGAGTGGGCTAGCAAACATACCTCAATCGTCAATATTGTATACTTATAGTGACGCCATAGACACCATGAAAACGATGACCACTCATAATGATGAACATAAAGGACTAAGGTATATGTGCATTATGAATGCCCACACTGATTCCCCCCTCCCCCAACCGAAAGCGCGCTTCCCGAGCGTCATTTCTGACCGCAGTTCAAAGCGAAGAACGCCTTGCGAAAGTCTTCATGCAGGATAAGTGGACTACTTCTGCTGCCGGCAGCCGCGGTCCGTTTGAAGAGTGGGTGCCGTGTGATAATGGACAGGACACGTTGTCTCCAAGACAATGTAGAGGCCAATGAAGCGTAACTGAAACCTGTCGCACAGGCCAGGAGTGCGAATGGGTGTACCAAGCAGGCCTTGGTCACCAGGGCTGAAGGACACTTACAATGAGAGGCATCGTAGTCAAGATTGCAATCTTGTTGCTTGAATTCAGTGTACGCGGGCGAGCTGGTGGCAGTGAAGAAGACGAGACACGTATTTTTCTTCACAGGAGAATGAAGATGGTTTAAGAGGCGAATGCAAGAAGGAAACATTGGGGAAATAAAAGGGGAAGTGACCGTGGTCGAGTTAGGACGGTGAGTAATCGGTTGTGGGCTGTACAGACCCATTGTACGAAAACGCGGCAAATTTAAAAAAATGCATCGCAGTTTCTGTGCTCCGATTCGATATACATAACTATCACGTTTGACAGTGTGCGATGAAAGTACTCAGTCAGCAAGTTCGTCTGAGAATGGTAACTGGAGATTGTTTTCTGAGTAGTACTGGGTGCCTTAGGCCCTTGTGCGATGAGTTCTGAAAAATATTTCTCACGGTCACTCTAGATAACACGAGAAGTACCGTGACTAAGGAATACTGCTATAAGGAAAACGTCAGCAACTTCTGAAGCTGATGCAGAAGGCATAGAGGTTGTTTCGGCGTAGTGTGTCAGGTGGTCGCCAGCTGTAACTATCTATCTATTGCCCGTGACAGTCACAGGATAAGGACCATACAGGTCATAGCCAACTAACTCAAATGGCTGCAGGGGAAAGAGGTTTGGTTCGAATTGTCTGCTTTCGGCTGATGGTGGGAGCTCGCGACGCTGACAAAGGGCGCACGAGGCAACGTACTTTGCTACACTGGTGGACGATCCCAGCCAGTAGTAGTGATATTTTATGCGGTAGTACGTTTTTTGAAAGCCCAGGTGCCCAGCAGCCATATCGTCATGATATGCCTTGAGGACTTGAGCTCGAAGAGAGCGAAGTAGAGCAAGCACTCAGCATTGGTCATCAGGGGGTAGATATGGCGGTACAGTACGCAGTTGTCGAGTTTGAATTGCGTCAGCTGTCGGGTAGACGGGCGTTAACGGGCTGATAAATCAGTCAAGGCTGTCCATGAGGCGACGACAGTAAGGTTCAGTGCGTTGGTGGGATAATAAAGCACACTCGTTTACAGGAGTTTGGTCCAGAGTAGCAGGACGAAACTTGTGGGAGAGAGGCAGCCGAAAGCTCGTCACGTGCGGCAGTGATTGGTGGGTTATGTGCTCTGAAGGAAGCGGGCAACATGAAAGCGCTTCGGCGTCTTGGTGTTCCCCGACTTGTATGTAATACTGTGGTCATATTCTTGTAAACAAAGCGTTCAGCGACTAAGACGGCCAGACAAGTTCTTGAATAACGAGAGCCAGCACAACACGTGACGGTCTGTGGTTCCGGTGGGCACTCCTGCTCAGTGACGATATAATTTTTGATTGATTGAATTGTGGGGTTTAAAGTCCCAAAACCACCATATGATTATGAGAGACGCCGTAGTGGAGGGCTCCGGAAATTTTGACCACCTAGGGTTCTTTAACGTGCACCCAAATCTGAGCACACGGGCCGATATAATTTTTCTCGGCAGAGGTCAGTACACGGCTTGTGTATGCGATGACGTTCTTACATGAAGATTTGTCTTGCCTTAGGATACCACAAATGCTATGACCACCAGTGTCTGGATACAACCAGTGTCTGGATACAGAAGTGTAGGCGCTAGTCGATTAAATGGCAAAGGACTGGTTCGGATACGAGAGCACCTTTCAGTCAAGCTTTCGCCAATTCACATTCAGGAGATCACACAAAGGAGTGCCTGATGTGAGCAACTTGTGCAAAGGCAAAACTATTAAGGCGATTCTCGAATGAAATGGAAAAAATATGAAGCGAGAACGAAGAAACTGCTTAAATCTCTGGCTTTTTCAGGACGCGGGAAGTGTTGCACCACGCAAATCTTGTCTGCATGGGGCCGTATGCTGTCCTTGCTTACAATGTGACCTACGGCTAATTGTCTTGCTTGTGAAACAGCACTTTTTGTGTTCAGACCAAGGCCTGCGTTCGCAAGGCGCGCGAGAATTTCGTCCAGTCGTTGCATGGGCTGAGGGAAGGTTGGCGAGAAAATAACAATATCGTTCACATAGAACAAGCAAGTCTCAATTCAAGCCTCCTGAAACTTTCAATGATATGCTCAAATGTTGCTAGAGCATTCCAAAGGCTGAATGGCTTGACGTTTAATTTCTACAGCCTGAAAACACAGTCTGTTTGTCGTTCTTTTGCAGGGGTCTGTCAATAAACCGAGTGCAAGTCGATGTTGGAGAAGCACTTGGCACTTTGCAGAGAATCCAAGGCATGTGCGACATGGGGTAGACATCCTTGCGGGTGATGTTAATAAGTGCCCTGTAGTCTACGCAAAACTGCATTGAGCCGTCTTTTTTCCGTGCTAAAACAGCGGGAGGTGACGAAGGACTCGCGGAGGGACGTATGGTGTTTTGTTGCAGCATATTGGTGACATTTTCTTTAATGATAATCTGCTCGGACGAAGAGATATCATGTGGTCGACGGCGTACGCTGGAAGTGCGATAGGTCTCGATTCGTTACATGATAGTGAATGTCCGTCTCAGAGATGAGGAATTGACATCGAACGACGTCTGATGCTTTTTTAGCAAGGCAAGCAACTCATCTGTCTGCGAATAGGTCTGCTCTAGATAGAGCAGAAATGCGGGAGGAACGTCGTACAGAAGGAAGTTCAGAACACGCCGGCATGAGCGGTAGAGCATTGACAGGCTTGCTATTTGGTAACGGAAGTCATTGTGGGAATGATAGTTTGAGAATGATAGTTTTCTCTGAAATATGATTTGTGGCGTAGAAAAGTCCAGAGCCATTCTGAAACCACACTATACCTGAAGCAAAGACTATACCTCATACGAGAAAGCGTACAGACAGGACAGACACGTCCTATTGTCGATCTCGCCAGAAGCGATGGCAACTATTTGCTGCTGACCAGAAGGTAGCTTGGTATCTTCAGCATTGAACAAGTTAAGGGGCTTGTCATTTACATTAAGGGCGCAGTCAGTTTCCATCATATGAACATTTTTTTCAACGTCAGATGAAGGCATTCACCGTAGACAGAAAATCCCAGCCTAGTAGAAGCTGGTGGGCACACTAACTCACTGTACATAATGGAGAATACCGTCGATAAAACACAAGCGGTGCACATGGCGGCAGGTGTAATGGCGTCGCTTGATCAGCGTGCGAGGTAGGTCTATCATAAGGGGTGATGAATTTTCGCAGAGGGGAGCACAAAAGACAATCACAGACAAGCAAGCACCAGATTTTATTAGAGCGTACACTTACACGCCTTACCCTAAAACAGGTATTGTATTATACGGGCGCAGTGGAGTTTGGCTTTTCGTTCAATGCGGCTTTTCCAGCAAAAGCCGAGTGCATTGGCTAGTTTTCCTGGCTTCGGTCGCTCAATATTGGAATAGGTCACAGTGGAGACGTAGGGCGGCGTAGGGGTGATGGTGAGCGGCATCGAGTAGAGTGGTAAAAAAAGGCTGTTTGGGATGTCGCAGTTGGCGATGGGGAGCTACGTGGTGGTGCATCGTAATGACAGCCTTGGAAAGTGGCCCCGGTGGACTTATCATCCAATTTATAACTGCCGCATCTACGACGCTCGTCTTGCTGACGCTCCGACACAAGCGTGCATTGTGGCCCCGATAGCCACAGTATTGACATATTGAAAGAGGCGGCCGCCATGGTGGGTGAATGGGCTGGCTAGGTGCACTAGGAATCATCGACGCCAATGGGACAGGCGTCGAGTGGGCTAATATCAATTGCACGAAGGGTAGTGGTGAACCAGCAAACACTTGTGCGTACGTTGGCTTGAGTTATGGTACCATAAAGCCTACATATGCTGGCTCAGTCATCGACGCCAACTCCTGTTTCATAGCGCCACGCAAAAGGGTGTTGAAGGGGTAGGTGAACTTGGGGTCACTGAGAGGCCCAGAGATTGAAACTCTTCCCGTATAACCGCCCGGATCATAGCACGTATAGATGAATCTGTTTAATCAGCAGTGGTGGTGTTTTCAGAGCTTTCCAGCAGAAACCATTGGGACTA